CTGTTAGTGGGTGGGATATATTAGGCAGCAAGTGTGATTGTGATGGCTAGACGACTGGGTCAGAGCATCTCCAAAACTGCAGCTCTTGTGGGGTGTTCCTGGTCTGCAGTGGTCAGTGTCTATCAAAAGTGGTCCAAGGAAGGAGCAGTGGTGAACTGGCGAAGAAGTTAATGCTGGGTCTTATGGAAAGGTGTCAGAATACACATTGCATCGCAGTTTGTTGTGTATGGGGCTGCATAGCCGCAGACCAATCAGGGTGTCCACACAACTCTCTCAAATTTAAAGTTTATCTAACTGTAAATTGTCAAAAGGTTTTATGGATTTCATGCTGATTTTTACCCATATGTATACAGTGTGTATGTACACACACACACACACACATATATATATATACACCGATCAGGCATAACATTATGACCACTGACAGGTGAAGTGAATAACACTAATTATCTCTTCATCTAGGCACCTGTTAGTGGGTGGGATATATTAGGCAGCAAGTGTGATTGTGATGGCTAGACGACTGGGTCAGAGCATCTCCAAAACTGCAGCTCTTGTGGGGTGTTCCTGGTCTGCAGTGGTCAGTGTCTATCAAAAGTGGTCCAAGGAAGGAGCAGTGGTGAACTGGCGAAGAAGTTAATGCTGGGTCTTATGGAAAGGTGTCAGAATACACATTGCATCGCAGTTTGTTGTGTATGGGGCTGCATAGCCGCAGACCAATCAGGGTGTCCACACTGACCCCTGTCCACCGCCGAAAGCGCCATGTTGTGAACTTCTCAAATTGGTGAAGTTTTATGAATTCAATTGATTAGATATCCTTTTTTGATTATTACAATTTAATTAAACCATTAAAATGGAATCCAGAAAAAAATGGAAAATATAGGACCCTATATTACCCGTTTACATGCATCTGAAATTAAAATTCTTCACATAAACATCAGATCATCTCAGAATGATGCTATTGTGCTTTTGCTAATGGATCCTAAATCCGTTAATAAAAAAATAATCACAATTTAAATCTTAAACTGACTACTTTCAGATTTCAGAACAAGTTGAAGCACATATGATATGTTATTTCAGACAGATGGGGGAAATATTGTGGCTGGAGATACTCTGCAGTATGTCAAAAATAGAAACCGCTGTCCATCAACTGAAGGTGGATGCTCAGGCAGATTTATTGATATACTGTACTGGGAGTGATAGAATTTCAGGATGCTGCTTCCTTTTTTTTCTTTTGTCTTGTAACTAAAGTTAGCAACTTGAGTAGAAAGCTTTCTTGTTATGTACAGTAGAGCTGCATGATTATGACAAAAATCATAATTGTCGATTATTCCCTTGAAATTGTAATTGCGATTATTAATTGCATACAAAGAAATTGTGATTGGATTGTTCATTTAGCTCATTGAGGATTGAGTTTAGTGTATGTGAATGGAATCTGCAGTTGTTTTGGATTGACAAAAATCTGTGCATGGGTCAAAGACGTTAAGATGTCCACATCAAAAGAAATTTACAAAAGTGATTTTATGTCCATAGAAAGTTAAAAAATTCTTACTGACAAATGGGCAAAACCTAGGATAGTGGCAGATTTAAAAAATGTCAAATAACAACTAATTAGTAACTGGGGTGAAAGTAATTCGTTTTTTAATATGTCATAAATAGATTTTTGTTGTAAATATGCCTGACAACATTGTTACACTGAATGACGTTTTAGTGGGTGTCTTCTTTAAATCAGGGGAAAATGTATGATATTTATTTTTTGCTTGGAAAAACCAAAACAAAAATACAATTACATGAAACAGAAAATTGTTTAAATTTTTTTTTTGTGGAAAAACAACAATTTAAAGCAGTATTGTTTTTATGCTTAAACCCTTTTTCGTCTTTGACCCACATGTAAACATAATGTATTTTGTGCTGTTGTAATCAATATGTTGTGGTATGATAATCTACAAAATGGCAAGATCATTTAATACTCATTTAAGATTTCTTTATTTCTTTTAAAATATTTTCTATATTTATTTTGTGTTGGAGGAGATGTGTTGCACTGCGTGAGGCAAATGGTGGTCACACCAGATACTGACTGGTTTTCGAACCCCCCCGGACCCCCCAATACAGTAAAACTGCACATTTTAGAGTGGCCTTTTATTGTGGCCAGCCTAAGGCACACCTGTGCAATAATCATGCTGTCTAATCAGCATCTTGATATGCCACACCTGTGACGTGGATGGATTATCTCGGCAAAGGAGAAGTGCTAACTAACACAGATTTAGACAGATTTGTGAACAATATATGAGAGAAATAGGCCTTTTTTTAATTTCATTTAAAATTATATAGCATTTCATATTTACAATTATTTTTTCTTATTTATTTTTAATATTTTTTTAACTGATTGATATTTTATAATGGTACAGGACAGGTAGTAGTTGAACAGGCATGTAAAATATCATTTATTAAATGCCAAATGGCTAGCAGTGTTTTCAGTTGAAAACTTTTTAACTAGCTTCTTCTATCCTGCCCCCACACACACACACACACACACCATATGCTGTTTATGAATGCTGTAATAATTGTATATGAAATTAGAGTGAATTACATAAAGCTTGCTCAATGAGCTTGGAAACAATAGGCTTTATATGAAATAATGCACAACATATGAGAAAATATAATGAAATATAACTCATTACAAGCTAAATTTGCACACAAAAAAGTCTGTTCCACAGACTTGTGCTTGGAGGAAAGTTTAGGGATCATGGATACAGGCTAGAAACATCACGCTCCAAGACCTGCTTAGCATTTGTAATTTTCAAAGAGGTAGTAAATATGCATGTCAGTTCTAGTTATGTTTGCACGTCTCATGACCTTAATAGTTTGGTACATGCAACCTGTGTGAATGTGTGCAGGGGTGATTTATTATGTCTCTTGTTGCGGTTGACTGTCTGTGTTTTGCACAGTTGCTCTTACTCTTCTCTATTTCAATGTCTTCGGTGTGACCTTTGTGCTGTTCCAATGCTGCTATTAGCTGACGGCTAATTGTAAATTAATCTTTGCGATTTAACTTTCACTTTCTCTGCTCTCTCTTAGAGAAAGTGAGATTTCTTTCTTGCTAAATTGTAAAGTAGGATTTGACTAAATCACATCCATTTCTCACATTGAAGATACCGGAGCGTTGTTTCTCACAATATTTTTATTCTTGAAATTTTTATTTTGTTGTCAAAATTTTCAATCTTGTGTTGCTATGACTTTGTTCTTGTAATTTTGACTTTAATTAAAAAAATATTACTATTTTAATCTCTCAAATAAGTCAAAATAATGACTTTATTCTCATAATCTTCTTTTTTTATTTTAATTTTTTATTTTTTTTGCGGCACTAAAACGCTGTCATAGTCAAGCACCAAAACACACACACACACACACACACACACACACACAAAACAACTTAATAATACTTAATCCAATCTGAATTTGAATGTAAGGAATTAGAATTAAAATAAATTTAAATTTCTATTTGTATTCATATTTAAATTCAGCTGAAATTTTAACCAGAAATGAAAAGTTTGTCAAGTCTTAGATGGATAGATAAATACATAGAATGGTCGAAATGCCAGCTTTTTATTTTATTTTATTTTATTTTATTTTATTTAAGGTTGCAGAAAAGATTGTGCAGAAAGATTTGTTTTGAAAAAAATTTGTTACATTTATTATAAACAACCTGATCATATTGTTAACTCTTCACAGCTCTTCACTCTTCAGAAAACCTGTCCTTTTCCCTCATAATTTATCATCTTTATGTCAGATTGTTTATTTCTAACCCCCAGAACTCAATTTCAGTTATGACTGCGATATCTAGGGGCTCAGATGCTCTTTTTTATAAGTGAAATGACTAACACAACAAAAATGAGTGCCATAGACCACCTGTGAACAGCAATAAATTAGACAACATGAGTTTTATAGAGCTAGAAATAAACCTCATACATCAATCGAGTCTTATCAGCGTATCCAAACGTGTTCTAATCTAGCTCCTTACGAGCTTTTCCGTCACTGTCCGATAAGCATCATCTGCTAAGGGTTATTCAACTTGTCAAGTGCTTTTTATTATTGGCAACGTCGAGACGACAGAAACGCCGCACCTCGTGGTGTATGTGTGTGATCATGCATGCGGACACAGCCTCGGATTGAAGTGAACCGTCTCGCTGCGTCTTGCTGAGTTGTATGCCCCTGCTCCCAGCACAATGAAATTACATGTTTGTGATCTTCATCTCACAGACGTATTCAAGGCCCATTTATTTGGAATTGCTTTTAGTGTAATCCAATAAAGACATTTTTTCATTTATTTCCATGGTGAAATTTCTGCTGAGGCGATGTGGGCCAGCATTTCCTTCATTAGCAGTAATAATAACAGTAATAGCAATAACCGCATTAAAGGCAATTATTACACTGATCCTCATCATCATCAACATCAATAATGTCAAAGTGTACAGCACACTGGGCATTAGTCATTTATGGAGAGGATTAAATCAGCGGAATATTATGGAAGGAGGTTAACTGACTAAACACACGAGAAATGAGAGGCCTTCACCACAAGAGCCGCTCACTGTCGGCCACTCTGTTCACTTGGGCTTTTATGTATGAATGCTGTGGGGTGGGCAGTATGACAAATCATATATCACAGAACGATTCATTTTATATAATGGTAATGGTATATGATATATATCACATACTATATATATCATATAGTTTTTTTTTTTATTTTTTCACAGTATTACTGTTTTTTTTTTACTGTTTTTTTTTTTATCATAAGAGGCTTCTTTCAAAAACAACTTACCGACCCCAAACTTTTGTTTCAAAAACTCATTGTAAAATAGCCGACATACACACTATATACCGCCTAGACCTAGACTGCACCTCTCTGTTTATTTATGTGCTTGTAAACTGAATAACACAGGCAATTTCTTCTTCCATTCTCCCAGCACTCCCAAAACACTCCATTTATTTTGGATTGTCTTCAGGCGTTGTGTTGGATATCAGGAGCGAGAACAACAGTGAAGGTAACCGGGTCAGAGAAGTCGAACACAGAGGCCGAAACAAGACCAAAGGGACTGTCGGTCAGAACATCTCCGCCAACTGGCTACCTACACGGACTCTCTGAGGCTTGCAGGAACACGGATCTGCAGCGATCGTTAGAGCAGCAAACTGTTTCCTGCGGCGGGAAAAAAACTAATATTTGAATATTCTCAGGCGCTCCTAAACCAGCTTAAATTGGATCATTTTATTGTGCCGCTCCAACCTGCCAAAATGCCAAAAGAGTGTGGGTCTTGGCGAAGGCCGGCACTCCTGAATCTTCCCCGCAGCCTGCGCGCCCCCCCACCCCTCTGCACTATCTGCTGACACAGAGTCTTGCCCCAGGCCGAAGCTCTCCGCATGGCCAGCCCCCTGCTGGGAAAAGATGCACTGAGCTGGAGAGAGCTGGAGGCGTCCCAGCACACAACTGGCCAGCAGGCCACTCAGTGCGTTACACCTCACATATGTGTGCGCCGCCCTTTTATACGGTATGTACGACACATCGACTGTTCCTACGAGTAATTGTAGCTTTGCTTTCCACTTAGTATACTTCATATTTACTCTTTGTTAAGTGTAAATCTTGCATGATAACAGTTTGTTCATTGATGGTTTATTGCAGAGTTTGTTGCATGCAAGTATTTCATACTAATCATTTGAATTAATTTAGTTGGAAATTGAATCACATTCCATAGAAATGGAAATCCATAGAAATATGGGGGGGGGGGACTATAAAAATATGTATAATATTGCAAATTATTGATTATGGCAAAGACATGATTTGGCAAAATGCATTAGTTTTTTAAACAAATAATTATCTGATTATTTTACCAGAATGACAATTTTTTTACGATTTTATTGAGTGAAACACTAATTAGCAAGTTATATTATTTTACTTGCTAAATATCAAAGCAAAAAAAATATTGATGTTTTATATTAATTTTGTTATTTCACACCTATATTATTTGACAACCCTTGGTATAATCAGGTATTACAAGTATAATTGTATGAATTCAACTTAATGAAACTTTAAATTGTATTCCATAGAAATGGAAATCCGCCATAAAAAATCTCTAAAAAAATATACATTTATTGAAATAATGTTTATAAAGTAATCGGGAAAGATCATGGCAAAATGCATTGGTCAGAAAGTATAGAACAACTTTTTTTTTTCAGGGAATATTTGTTTCAGGTTTATTTCTTTTTTAAAACAAATAATTATTTATCTAATTATTGAACTTAAATGACTCACAACAAGTTTTCAAGCATTTTATTGAGTGAAACACTAATTAGCAAGTTATATTATTTTGCTTGCTAAATATTATAGCAAATATCACTTACATTTTATTTTATTTATTTATTTATTTATTTTGCTGCTACTTGGCACACAAATAGTTTGTCAACCCTTGGTAATATCAGGTCTTTCAAGTAAATAACCTTGAATTCAACTGAATGTATTCCATTGAAATTTAATTCCGCCTCCAAAAATATAGATATTTCAAAATAATCTTTATCAAGTAATCACAAAAGACTGGAAAGATTATGGCATTGGTCAGAAAATGTCGGAACAACTTATTGGGAATATAGTTTAAATTAGTATGTTTTGAAAGGAGAAAGAGAATTATAATTGCAAAAGATTATGATTTCTTTTAAAAACAGATTTTATCTAATTATTTAACCTGAATGACTCCCAAAAGGTTTTTAAGCATTTTATTGAGTGAAACACAAATTATCAAGTTATTTTATTTTGCTTGCTCAATATCAAAATAAATAAATAAAAAAGGTATTTGCTGCTAAAAATAGTTTGACAAGGCTTGGTGTTAATCAGAATCATTACACCTGTTTTAACAACCAGTGTGGCCTGAGGCATTTTAACTTAATGCAGACTCATAAGTAATATATTTAACCAGCGGTTTAGATTTTTGATTCCATAACTTGTCTGGAAGTTTAAGGTACATTTTGTTAAGGTGATTTGCATATATTAATAGTATATAGCATATGTACTTTTATATAGCATCATCATTAGAGTCCAGCAGACCGCAAAACTTCTGAAATTCACTGTGGCAGTAAGACATTCGATTACTCTAGAATAACAACAGGAATATAATGACACATTAGTACTTTTTATTTTAGTAATTTGCTATTAAACTTTTACAGAATTGTAACTTCATATTGTCATTAAAACAGAGAGTAGATTTGCCTGATTATATCCAGTTATTGTAGTTTCATTGAGCTTGGCTTTGCTTTTAATCACCCCTGTCAATTTGAAACACTCATTTATCTTTCATCATGTAACCTGAAGTATTTCCATATTTTTTTCAGCATTCCCCTTCCCCTTTTTCTCCTTTCATCAAACTTCTCTCATCAGATCACTGTAATTGGCTCATTAGATTTCTGTTAATTAGCCTATAAAACCTAATGTTTTTAAAACACCTTGTTTCTTTTCATAGCATTCTCTTCTAGAACTATTTTTTTTTATTTCCATTAGATCATTGTGCAGGAAAGAGATGTTCCTTAGAGACCTTGCATTAGTTTAAATTTCTTACGTTTTTGAGTTCTGTGGCACATGCACTTTCCCGTAATGCAGCATTGGACAGCAGTGACCTTGTCTACGTTTCATGCTTTCTTGCCTACAAACTGGGGGAATATTGCATTTAAGCGGTTCTTTCTGTTCAGCTTTGTTCTACGAAACGCATCACATTCCACTGCCTTCCAATTTAGAGTCTCTTTGTACGTGTCAGCCGCTGCGTTCTTCCCTCATATTTAACTGTGAGAAAGTTCTAAGAGTCAGTTTGTTTGTAAAACAAGGCAATTTAAACGAGCAGCTGGCACCAGAGATCAGCATCTAACAACACTTTTTCTGCTTCCTCCCTGATGCGGTGCAGATCGATGTCTAGACATACATCTGTTGGTGTGCCCCGCTACTCTTCATGGAACGGTGCATTGAGAGGCATGCATTGAGAGTGTGTGCGTCTGCTCTGTTTGCATAGACTCATTTAAAAAGCCAGATCCTTCAGAGTGTTGATGAATGACAAATCAACAATCTGTTTGAAGATACTGCAATCAGTTCAGCGGTTCTTTATATTGGTTGACGGTAACCTTTTCTGGTGCCCTCTTGCCCACCTACGTGTCATTTGATATCGTCTTGCTGAGTTAAATAGTATTTGTGACTTTGTTGGAGATTTTGATATAAATACTGCTGTTTTACTGGTCAGACAAAAAAAACAAAACAAGATGCTCCAAACTCGGGCTGACTCAAACAGCCGCAGGTCTACACGTTTTGGAGGGATTAGCCTATAAATGGCTTGCTGATAAGTTAGAGTAGGAAAAATTATTTAACACGACCTTTATGCACATTCCTTTAAGCAGCATTGCTTCGAATGCGAAGGCGTGCAGTCCCTTTAAAGCATTACCAACCGGTGCATCTTTTCCTTTAGCTTCCCTGGCACTCCATCTGCAATTCTTAAAGTATTTCAATTTGACATACCCAAAGCATTTTGTTGAAAATAATGCACAACACTCTGTGCCGAGTGGCCAATTTGTAAGCCACTAACTTTCCTTTGACTTTGCGCTTCTGTTCGGGCCTCAGAAGCCGCTTGATGTGAATGTGAACACTGCGTCGGAATCCCGTCACTTTGTGAGTGCAGGAACGCAGCTATTGTTTGAGATTGATCGGTCCTTGGCCCAATTCTGAAGGCTTTGTAGGGGCCTTTCGCAATTCAGCATCCTTTGATGGAACCATGTGCGACATAGCCGTAGAGTTTTCCCCAACTCAACTCGTGACCACATTTCCTTACTTTAGATTGACCCCACTGATCCTCCTTTGTGCTGGAGTGAAGATTAGGAAGCGAGCAAGACGGGCTGAGGGGCTGCCAGTGGCTCGGCAAGCCTTATTCGTGCCTGAAACATCCCTCCTGCAACATTCCCAGTTCCGGTCCATGCCAGTCTATATGACTTATGGAGTTTGGGCCTTATACTGCCAATCCCACTTAGACTGCATTTTTCTGATAAACAAAAGCACATTCAAGCTTTAGCTTCTCATTTCACACTGTGTGCTTTGGCTCGGGGCAATGCTTTCCTGGAGCCCTTGGCCTACAGTCCAAAGAATGGCTCCAGTTGGCTTTCCTTTAAAAAAAAAAAAAGAAAAAGCAGCCACATGTGGAGGATTAGACTCCATCTTTCATCCTCCACGCTCTCTACTCGCCCTCTTCTGCCCAAGCCCATCGGCTCCCCCTTTAGTGCTAACGCCTCAACTCGCGGACACACAAACACCCACACGCATATCCACACCTCCAGCTCCTGATCGAACTTACCTCGGCAGCCTCGGTCCAGCTCATCTGTGCCCGTGCAGCAGTAAGAACTTCTTTGGCAGCAGCAGCGGCAGAAGTGAGTCTATTTAGGGCACTTGCAAAAGAGATTTTGCATTATGGGTTGCGTGTGTGCTGGTCTGCACTGGCGAAATTCAAAGCTTGTAAGTTTGCAAGAAAGTTTCTCCTTTGTTTCCGTTCACCGCCCACTGGCCTTTGTGGATGCCGCGGAAGCATTTGCATTCAGTTGATGTGTGCAAATAGTTCGTAAACATGTTAAGTACAATATAGTACGCATATGGTGCTTCTAACACGAAGATTGTTGCAATTAACATATTCCAGATTTTAAATGCACATAACCTGTTACATGAGAAACACGCACCAGATGGAAAGATAGAGTGGTGCATGACAAACATGACCCTTAATACACCCACTATTAAAAATGCTGTGCCTCTGATCAGACAATAGGCAACCCTATGCTAACCATTTGTCTTCAACTCGACGGGAATATCAGAGCGGTTATTAGAGAGGATGTGAAATGATAACTATGTTGCAGGTTGACCCCTAGGGCATGGGCTGTCTCTGGGAACAGATGTGCCACCCACTCGCAACAGTTGTACTCTTCCCACAATGCCCTGGTGGGAGTAGCTTGGGCAAGAAGAGGACAGAATATAATACTTTGGGTAAACCGCTTGCAATTGGGACTCGGTGCATCTTGGGCAAGGGCAATCTCAGAGGTCAGAGACTCTCCAGCAGGTCAAGCTTCAAGGTAATCACAGGACGA